AGAACAAGGAAAAAAATAGAAAAAACAAACCCCATAACACCAGGAACAGGGAGCAGATTCTGGGAATATCCTTACCTTTCTGCATACCTGGCCTTTGGAAAGCAAGGGGTAAAAAAAACGAAGTTAATAATAAAAGGCTTCTCAGCTCTGCTCTGAAATTTTTACTTTTTGTAGCCATTCCTGACACAGTAACTTGTGCAGAAGACATAAATTTAGAGTGCCTGGCTCAGCCACTTGTGTTTTCTCACCACAGTTTGACTTTAGCATGTTGTCTTCAAAGAAGCTTGATCCTGGCTCCCACTGGAAGGGATGGCTGCCCCTTACAACAAACTTCACCCTCTTTGTAGCCATGGTGTAGATCTGAGATAAATACTGGATGCCCTAGTTCCAGCAAGTCACTTCTGAATCAGCTTTCTTAACACCTTCACCAACACTAAATATATTGTCTTAAGCATTTTTCACCCAAAAGGAGAAGGTAGGCTTCCCATCTCCATCTTCTTTCTGCCAAATTCAGAATCAGGGTTGTGGTGATCATCAGGCTGCTGTGCATGCACAGCTGAAGTAGAGAAATAGCAAAAGGAGCAGAAAAAATTTACATCAGAGATGCCTACTCCCACCTACAAAGAAGCCCTGTTCTTTCATCTTGATTAAAGATCCTGCTCAGGGTAATCTGGGACTTTATCATCTCCTGAGAGAATTTCTATAATCTGGGTTGGCAGCAAAAGAAAGTGAGCACCCTCGTACAGAGCCTCAGCTACTTACCAAGCCAACTCAGTTTTCTGCCCTCTCCTAGCTCAAATCCACAGCAAATCTTGGGTGTGGTCTGTAAAGTGTTAGTGAATCATTTGTCAGTAAGATCAGGATTTCCCCATCTTCTTTTTGTCCTTTGAGGCTACTCTGTACATACAGGGCACTGTACATACACCATACAGGGCACTCTTAGCTACACAGGGCCAAAGACTCAGCTTGGAACTCCATGACATAAAGCATCCCTAGACAGAAGTTTCGTTTTGGAATCAGTTGCCAGCAGAGGTAAGAGTGAAATGTTTAATCAAGGGGTTAGAACCTGCAGAATAGCAAGATGTTCCCTGTGCATCCTAAACCCTTTCTAATTGATGAATTCTTTCAGCCTTTCTTATGCTTTAATTTCAGGTTCAGATTTTGCTGTTTTATTTCTTGGACAAAGGAGACAAGTGCTTCATTCATAATAAGGTTTATTGACAAGGCTGGGCTCAAAGTATGCTTCTATTGGAATGCAGATTATTTGGATCAGCCTTAGCTCCTTTTCCTATTATCTCTCTTAACATTTGTCCTTCCTGAGCATCTTCTCTGTGGGTGTGCTTGCCAACATGAGCTTCGTTTTTTCCTTTCCATTTGGCATATGGATCATTTTTCTCAAGCAGCTTCAGTCTCTTACTTGCTCTTCTCCAGCCTATCATCTCCTACTATTATCCAGTTGTACACATTGCACAACTTAATCATAGTAATATATCGAGTGTATGTGCATGCTTTTCCCCTCCTCTGGGTATTTCCAAGATATCTGTGAGTTGAAGAACAGCATGGAAGACTGAACTTGTTGGTAGACCACACAAAAACATTTGACAGAAAGATGACATCTGTCCTTCATTTAATTGGCAACTTGTGACCTCTCAGAACAAAGTTTAATGCTAATTTCTTGCTGATACAAGAAACTGTAGAGTTCTTAGACACATTAAAAGGTAAAAATTGTTAGGTCCCAGTATTAGATAACAAGTCTCTGATCTCGAACAAAGAAACAGGTCAGAAGTTGAGTATTTGAGTTACTGGAAGTCACTTTATTCTTCAGACAACATGTTTACTGTAGAACACTGCTGAAAAATAAGCAAAGAGAGCTTTAAAAAAAACTCCATCATATTCTTCACTTGCTATTTTTTAAAATTAAGCATAGAATCATAAAGTGGCAAATATTAATTCATGATCCAGTAAGTTATAAATTTTTTTCCATAAATCCTTGGAAGCACATTGAAATATCTGATGTTTTATACAGAACTATAAAGCCAGAGGTAATAATAACTATAATAATAATATTATAATAACTAACACTTTTAGTAGTGTTAGTGTAATATTTTGGGACTTGAAAAAAATATATTTTATTAATCCACTCTCCAGAGCACCATATTTGGGATAACCTAAAGGGTTCATAATTCCATAAGGAGAATTTTCAGAAAGATTTTGAGATTTAAGTCCTTTTGTACCCAGTGGAAAAAGGATATGAGAAGGAATCTGTGTTCCAGACTGCCAGCTTTGTTCCTGCATTTTGAACTAGGTTTCACAGGCACTTAAGTCTTGGTAAAGTTTTGCTTCCTCCTATGTATCCGTGTTGGAGTAAGTCCTAAAGCACCTCCGTCTTTAGATGGCGGAGTAGGTTAGTCTCCTCTTTCCAACCTATGTGGGAAAATCCAAATGTTTGTATAGGTTAAATGAATCACAACTGCTGTCTTCTCTATCCAGACTCCAAGTGGTGTTCTCTGAGGATGGAATATTGCAGCATGGTGCACAGGCCACCAGGCCCTTTTCCTTTGAAACACAAGGGGAAGAAAAGACTTCTGCTCTTGTTTGTCTAAGTAGAAGAAACAGTGCTTGGAGGATAACTGAGAGATATGCCTTTTGAGTGGAGAAAATACACTGCTTCTTTTCTCTTTTCCTGTTTCCTTTTGCACATTTAGGTGCGCTCAGCCTTTTGCATTTTGTAGGTGTGTTTGGAGGTTTATATGCAGTATGTGCTGTATGCAGACAGAAGCAGAGCCACCTGGAGACTGGGGACAGGTGCCTAAATTCTGGTGTGAATCTCAGTGTTTTGCACTCACAATGAGAGTCACAGCCTCAATCTCTAAAATGAAAATTCAGTAGGTGTTTTGTGATTCTAGCATAAACATCCAATGTGGTTAGTCAAGATAAGCTCATACAGTTTTGAATATTAAATCTCAGCTGCACAAAAGGAACTATTTCTGTGAGATTAGTTGCTTTCCCTGATCCAAGTTTCCACATTCCCTCTGCCATAAAAACCTTTGCCTCTTGTGCTGATGAATGAGATTAATCTTCCAAAATCTTTTGCATGCTATCTGCAACACTACATCATAAAATAAATAAATAAACCTACCACATAGTTCCCCGGTTTCAAACTTTGCAGATTCAGGGTTCACTAAGAAGTCATCTCTCTTTTTCCTTTAAAAGAAGACAACCATATAGAATAATAGAGTTCTCTGTCTAGCATAAAAACCCATCTGGAAAAAATTTAGTCTGCAATAATTGTGGGCATTTGATTTAGCTTTAAATCCCTGTAGGTAATTCAAATGTAAATTTATTGGGGTGATTTTATCCCCAAGCCGCCATTGGATCCAATGTTTTAGAGGTGAAATTGGCCCACTGTGCTAAAACTACAGCCTGCATTGTTTCTGTTGCATCAGGATATTATTATGTGCTGTAATATCTGCCGTTATAAGCAGACCCTTACTATAAATAAAGTCAGTAGAGACAATACTGGCAATCACCTGTATTAAATTTATTTTTCAGACCTTGATAGACTAGTAATTCTTGGATTATGAATATGTTTATATACCAGCATCTAAATCACTCAGACAACACTGGTCTAATTTGCTATTCTGTGCTGTACTCATATGAAATAGTCCTTTTGGTCAAGTAAAATTCTATGCATTTCACATTCTGCTTCAGAAGAAAGTCTAATGTTTCAAGAGGCATTCAGCACGTAATGTAAACAATGCCATCTGTCTTTTTCTTTGGAAAATCTTCTTCAAGATAGCCCTGATATGCCTACTGTTTTCAATCACTTAAAAGGCAGTAATCCAATTATATCATCCTCTATGTAGGAACTGCCATTGCTTTCAGTCCACTTCCAATCCTGACACAAGTAAATCACTTTGATAAGATCCTCTTTTTATTTATTTTTTTCTGAGGAGACTAGCATAAGTAATGATGCCAGTGATAGACCAAGGACAAAATGACCATAATGGACTTTCTGTAGGAAAGGAAAACATGTGCCACTGTGATTTATCATGTTACTTGAAAAGTATTTTTCCTTGGAATTTCTGGAACAGGCGCACTCCCTAAGCAAAGGGCGTTAGCAAGTATGAATGGACAAATGGTAAATTCAGACAAAGCATTCATCAAGTAGCAGATTTAAACAACTATTGCTATTTAGATTTCTTAAACAGGAACAGAAGGTCAAAGCCATTTTGGAAATGTGCCTAGGTCATTTTCATCTTTGGTATAATGCCACCTACTTACATGGAAATGCGCTTGGAATGTGTAAGGTTGGATCTTCCTTACAAACTACTAAGGCTTATCATGCAGATATGCCTTCCTTCTATTTAAAAATGGTTTGGGTGACTTCAGTCATTTGTGCTACAAGCGAGCAGGGGCCTGGCAGACACGTCTAACCTCCCAGAATAGACGTGGCACGAGATCAGTAGTATCTGCAGACTTCCTGCTAAGAACTGCCCTCCACTCGGATGCTGAGAGAGCATAGTCAGAGCTGAGTTGTCTCTGGATACACCTATCTTTTCCCCTGCTTTCAGAAAAAGGGGAAAGCAGCAAATGAGGTGGTCATGTGCAATGCAAAAGCTTATTTGAAAGGAGCTGGACCACAGGTGTCTCTTTGAACCCAGACTCGTCACTCAGTACAAGGAACTGCAGAGTTTGCATTTTCAAATTTATGAAGAGTGCAGGTCTGATATTCACTGTCTGAGACCACAACTAGGAAGCACAGTAGGACATTCACTCTGCTGAAGAAGCTGGTAAGCGGCGATCCACAATATTAAAAAAATGTAGGCCAAATCTGGCATTTCCAATGTCATGCTATGAGGTAAGTCTTTTGTTAAGTAACTTTGGAGAGCCTGTGTGAGAAAGCTGTGATCTGGACAGGAAAAGACATTGTCTTTACCTTAACAAATTAGGATGCTGCTTAGGATGGTATTGATATATTAGGTTGTTTCCTTTTACAGAGAAAGTGTGGAGAGCCTTATCCAAAAGCATTCCTATGCTCGATCCCCCATTCGGACCTATGGAGGAGAAGATGATCTCGGAGATGACAGCCAGGCAACACAAAGCAGAGGTAGGAAAACATGCTCATGATGACTCAGTTATGCTTGAGAAAAGCAGGACCACAAGCAGTACTGTGGTACTCTAAAGCATTTCTCTGGTGTGTCTCTCTGCCATGAAGTCATAAAATGAAGAAGAATACTTGTTACCTTTTGGTTCTTTGGGACATCTGATATGCCCACAGCACTGGTGTGGGTGGTTCAGTTCAGGAGACAGTTACAGACACAACCATATAGTCTTTGCCATCAGAGAGAATTAATTCTGCTTCCTTTTCAAGATGTCTGCAAACCAGAAAGCTTCATTACTGTGGTGCTGAGAACAAGTTAACACTCCCCATCTCTTGGCAGGACTTACTAGCTGGGCTCCACACCACTTGTAAAGCACCATGTAGATGTGCCACTTGCTGCCCGCCCAGCCCTCTGTGAACAGAGGACTTAGTTCTAACCATCTTCAGCCAGCCCGTGGTTAACCTGCTTTGTGTCCTCAGGAAAAAAATTTGGTAGCTCCCTGAAAAACTGATGTTTAATTGTTATCTGTTACTCTCTTAAAGGTGCTGTTCCTGATGAAGCAATTAGCCTCAAATTGCCCTATCAAACAATTTGTTGTGTTAGCAGTAGCAAAAGAAGCAGCAAGACAGGCTTGTTCCTTGTGGGGATACTTACTGGAGAAATTGCATCTGTCATAATTTACCACTGGAAATAGAACTCAGACCCTTCCTGTAGGATTGCTGACTAGCATAAACTTGTGTTGCATTATACTTCGCATGTTGACTTTGTGACCTGTCTGATATGCCACAGCCACTTGAGGTGAAGCAGTTCTATCTGTCTTCCGACTGGCAGTGCCCTTGTCTTGTCCTCTAACTTCATACAGTGCTGCTAAGATAACAGCATTCTTTCTGGTCATGAGCTCTCTGGACTTGTGCAGGGAAAACACACTTATTTTTAACTATGAATTGCTCTTCAGCAAAATGTGACTAGGTGGGCTTGTTTTTACACATCTATTCTAAGAGCAGGTCCTTAGATTATGGAGTTTCTGAAGCAACTTTACCTGCTATGATGCCATCCTTTCACATAGTTCTGGGGGATTACCTTGCTTCATGTCAACTTAGATCCTAGGCCAGCTATTATTGAAGATGGTATTAAATTTTCCATTGCTGGAAGTGGTAAGAGCAAAGCATCATCTCTTCAAGAGTTAAATTTCTCCCTAGTATGATGTCCTCTCTTGGGAGTGACAAAATAAACCAGGTGAACCTCAGTATGAAAGCTGGCCACTAAATCTCTTCAGAAGAGACTCCTTAGAAAGGTGTTATGGGGGATATACTACTTTATTGCAATTAATTTTATGTGTAATAAAAGGGTGCAGTTCTGCATTTGCTCGCAATATGGCAAATGAGTAAGTGAGGAAAATTGTGAATCATGGCAAAGAACTTTTTTCTAATCTGGGAGCCATATGCTACATGGGACGTGAGTGCTCTGGGCAACCAGAGACATGCACAGAAGGTAAATCATACTGCTCTTACACATGAGTAACTGGTACTGCCTTTGCTCTCTCTTTAGGTCTAGTGTCCTTAAATAAGGAAAACTCCTTCAAAATACAAGGAGAGAAAACAATGTTCTTATTGAAATTCCATAGATACTTTCATTTCTGCCAACGAGTTTTAAAATTACCTTGCACACAAAACTGATGGGTAGTCCCCTACAAGAGTAAGAGTTGAGAGCCTAATACATATGCATTGCTGGGTGGTGTGTGTTATAAGCTCTTTGAGACCTTGATTGCCTCAGAAGTACTAATTCCGTTGGTGGTGGCAAAAGTTGTAATTACTTACTAAGTTGTAAGTAATTACTAAGTACTAAGTTGCAATTAGAGACCAAATCAGCTGGAGCAGGAAAGGATGCTTGAGGAAGTTCCTCGTGAAAATCATTGGATAGTGTTGGAAGGGACTGTTAAAGGACATGTAATGCAAACCCCCTTCAGTGAGCAGGGACATCTTCAACTAGATCAGGATGCTTAGAGCCCCTTTTAGCTCGACCTCGCTTATTTCCTGGGATGGGACATCTGGCCCCTTTCTGGGCAGCCCGTGCTTCACCATCCGGTGTTTCACCACCCTCACAGTAAAAAAAAAAAAAAAATCTTTCCTATATCTAGTCTATCCACATTTAGTTTAAAGCCTGTACTTGTGACAGATTATGGTAGAAAATTTTTCCCAGCTTTCTCATAGGCCTGCTTTAAGCACTGATAGGCTACAATTAGCTGTCCCAAAAGTCTGCTCTTCTCAAGACACCACAAGCCCAATTCTCTAAGCCTTTCCTTATAGGAAAAGTGTTCCAGCCCTACAATCATTTCACAGTCATTAATGAGAAAGAATCACATACCTTATTCTGCATAAAACAAAGAAATAAATAGCAGTGATAGACTTGGTAATTACCTCAGCACCCTGCCAAGAGCATTCTCTGATCAGCAAATTTCAGCTGTCTAAAGATGGAAGCAGCTAACCTACAGTACAAAATGTCTAATTGCAAAGGAACTAACAAATAGGAAATGTATAAATTCAATGGAAACTCTTTAATGCATAATTTCTCTGTGTCTACATCCACACACATCCACAGGATTCATAGTAGCCACCTGGAACAGAGCCAAATGAAAACCTTCTGGGCAAATCCAGATTTGCACCCAGCTTTCCCTGTAGTGCCGTAATGCTCGGATACCCTCTGATTTGTCAAGGGTTTTTCTGTGATCTGTGAGTAATGTGTCATCCTTGGAGTTTGGCTCTGGATCCTAATTTCCTCTGGTTCAGCAGTAGGACCAGGATTTGGTTCAAGTTTATCTCCACTGCTAAATTGGCTCAATTTATTTTTCCTGTTACTGGGCTCTTTTACTTGTTTCATTAAGCAAAGGAAGAATAATTCATGGTTTGAGAATGTATCCCATAAGAGATTTGTGATTAAAAAAAAAAAAACAAACACCCCAACAATATACACTTTTTATTTCTGTTGTTTTTTGCTAATAGTTTTGGTTTGAGCATGTGGCTATGATTGGTTACTTTACTTAATTCCAGTAAGTTTTCCTTGATGGATAGAAGTCTTCATATGTTTTCATTCTACAGTTTGGATGAACCTCCCTTCTTGAATTAGATTTATGAAAGTAGAATCTGTTACAAAATTTGTTGTCTCAAAATGTTTTGCAATACTGAATTGAAATTATATTTCATCAATTATCCTTTCCAACAAATTTATTTTCTAAAGTAATAAAGTTGGTCAAGTAAGAAAATACATAAGAGACAAGAGTTAAATTATTGTTTAAAAAGGAATACAATGAGTTTATTTATAGCATTTTGTTGTATTTCCCATTTCTAGAAATCAGACATATGATGATGACCAGATACATATAGGTACTACAGAGATGAAGGACAACACAGTCATGAGATTATTTGAAAATGACCATGTGTAATTATCTAAATGAATTTTTGTTTCCCCAAAATTTTACTGTCAGCATAAGTAATTAGTTCTAATTTTAAGAAATCATTTTTCTTTTTTAAATGATTCTTCAATCTTCACGAAACAAAAAATATTTTAAAGAGTTGGAAGATTTGTAGAAATAGGTTTTGAAACTTTTCAAATTAAACAAATCCAAAACAAAATGACAAACAGAACACTTCAATTTGATCAAAAGTAGATAAATACCTTCAGAGCAAGTTATGCACCTCTTACTATGAATTAACACCAGTGTTGTTTATTGGAGTACTGTACATAATTGGAAAAACAACAAATACTTTGACATTTATGTTTTTAGGATTTTTTGCTCTTTACTATGGAAAGAATCAGGTTGACTGGAAAGATGTAGTGTTGACAGGTTTTACTGAGATTAAAAAAAAAGGGAAAACTTGTAGAGCAAATTACATTTACTGCATTTTTGCCACACTAAAATTTTGGGAAAAAACCCCAAAACAACAGTTCTACTAAGGATCTGATGTAAAAACCTACGTCTTCAAAACAGGGACGTAACACAGTGAGCTTCCATGCGAGAGTAGATGTTTCAGTGTTTAGCGGCAGCATTACAAGGTGCTTCAGTGTTTAATATCTAAAATGTTCAATGTGCAAAGCTGATTTTACTGTTGAAACCACTGCAACCAGATTCTGAAAATAGAAGTTTGTACAAGACAGAGCGATAAAGGACAGCAACCAACAAATACCATTTTAAAGATGGAAGTATTTGGGAAGCATGTCCAATGACAACTGGTCATTGAAACCAGCCTTGCTGTGAAGGACTCATTTTCTCCCTTTTCACTACTTTACCAACTTTGTGTGCCGATGTTAGGTATTCTTTCTCTTTGCTTGCAGGGTCAGCCTTTACAACATCTGATAACCTGTCCCTCAGTTCCTGGGTTTCCTCTTCAACCAGTTTCCCAGGATTTCAGCATCCACAGTCTTTGAGTGCCCTGGGTACCAGCACTGCATCCATAGCCACACCCATTCCTCATCCGATCCAAGGATCTCTGCCTCCGTACAGCCGCCTGGGAATGCCTCTTACACCCTCTGCTATAGCCAGCTCCATGCAAAGTAGCGGCCCCACTTTCCCATCCTTCCACATGCCAAGGTACCACCATTATTTTCAGCAGGGTCCTTATGCAGCTATCCAAGGACTGCGTCACTCTTCCGCAGTGATGACACCGTTTGTATGAATGATGTAAGACAAGAGGAACACAAGCTTTAAAATGTGCAAGTGTGCTATGAAAAATACAAGGGACCTTCCTGAAAGGCCTGTGGCAGGAGTGCTGAACTAATGACAAACCAGCTAAGAAAATGCATTGTGGATATAGATTCCTCTTTTGAGGGATCACAAGAAGAGAGCATGCAGCTTGGAGCTGCTCACAGATCTATGTGTAACACAGCCAAAATGGATCCCAAAGTCCCCAGGATCTTTTGTCACATGCAGCTTGTTCCAAAGGTGCATTATACCTAGTGGAAAGAGATTATCTTTAAGTAGCAGTGTACAAACTAATTGTCTATAGGTCTTTTTTCATATGTTAAATGAATTCTAAAAAAGGCAATACTCTTACTCATCTTCATCTCTTCTTGTGACTGATAAGCATTTAAACAGAAAAATATATTGCTATAACTTTGAGCATGTTTTAGGCTATCTCAACATACATTTGCTGAAAATAGGACAAAGTGGAGAAGACCACTGTCCATTTTAAGACTGGCATATATTCACCAAAACCAGTATTTCTTAGTTGCTACTATAATCACAAAGAGAACGTTATTAACAAGTCTTTCTTTCTTTGTTTGTTTCTTTCACAAAACACCTATCGGTTCAAAAAAAAAAGAACTGTGTTACAGGACTGTAGTAGTAATAATGTATTCTGTCCTTCAGTCTAAAAGGAAGCTTGTCCTACATCTGAGGAGGAGCAATTTAACTGTTGGCTAAGGTATAATGAAGAAAAATTTTGATTTGGAAAAATCTGTTACTTAAATTTAGAAACCCAAGATTTCCAATTTTAAAGCAGTGCTTGTTTGCTGCTGTGCGTGCCACCGAAGACTTGTTTCCAGCTGCACATGTGTACCAAGTTAACCCAACTTCAGGCTAGATCAGTCTATAGACTCTCTGGATCAAACTATAAGTAATTGACTGGTATGAGTGGCATTGGAGTATCTTTCCACTTGTTCTGATTTTGTTGGGTTTGGTTATGGCTGTTATTATAAAAGGCACCAGTTTGGCTAGGAAAACCAGTTTTTTCACGTCCCACTATAATGGTGGAGTTTCCTTGGAAAAATATCAGTACAGAACTTCACACAGAAGTTTTTTTTCAATTAATGTCTGACTTTTTTTTCAGTTAGTATTTGGGGCTCTCATTCAAAATACTCTAGCATGTTGTGTCTGATGCAATGGAGGAGCTACAGAGGCATAAGAAAATAATGACCTTTTCTGCAGAGAGCTGGCATGAATCCTTTGCACTACTGGAAACAGTAGCAGTGTGATGTTGGTTTTCTGTGTGGCAAGAGCTGGGATTCCATTGTAAATAATAAGATGACACAGAGTTTCTATGTCAAGTTGCATCCAAACTATAGATGATAATACATCTACTGACAAAAAAGAATTATCATAGATAATCTCATATATTACAGGTCTGTGTAGAGCTGGAACACAAAACAGATTTATTGTCCTCTGCTTTTCACCATTCTGTATTGGTGTCATATGGTAAAAAGTGGAGTGCAGTACACTGAGTCACCTACTCCCATCTCTGCAAAGTGCAAGGCAAGGCATATGCATCCCACCATTATGTATTTTCTAGTAGCTGAATTCAAAATCTCAAATTGGCCATTTCAATCTGAGAACACTAATATTTGGCATGCAGAAATGTCCCTTATTCTGTTTCAGAGAAAATTCTCCAGGCTCTTTCTGGAGAATGAAACTGGATTTTGACAATTCATTTACAAAAAAATTGAAAAGAAAGAAAGAAAAGGGCTTTCCAGTACAAATGAAATGTGATTAATATCTGAAATAACATGGAAGCAGTCTTAGGCTGTCTCAATATAAAAACATGATAAAGCCAACTCCTCTTCCAAATTCACTCTGATGAACTTTGTATTACAGACAATGCAGAATTATCTGTCAAAATCCACAGCTTGATTTTTCCAGTCAGACCAAGCCTCTCTCAGTGGGCTCATCCCTCCTTGTGCTTCTCTGTGATGGTTTAGCTCCTTTGCAGCAGCAACCCATTGGGTTGCCCACTAATGCAGAATCATAGGCAGGTCCCAAGTAAGGGAATGAAGGCAGCTTGTGACAGATTTCCCCAGGAAAAAGATCAATAGGTATGTCCATTCCTCACTTCCTCTTCCTCGCCCTCACAGTCCTACCTACAAAACCTGTTGCAGAGATTTGATGTTAAAGGGATTAAGTTCACAGAGGCCACAGGACGTCCAGTGAGGAGCTCTTGCCACTTCACAATGTTTCTGCTCCATGTCCCTCTCACCTTCCTGTAGGCCTGGGGAAGCATGGGAGTGATTCCAGGAATAAAATTTCTACCCAACTGAAGTAAAATGGAAATGTATTGACTTTAATGGGGGGAAGGATTTCCTTCCACATTGTCATCTAAGAATAAAGTCTGGCAGTAGGAACAGTGACTTAAATGACAGGAACAATATAAGAATAGTTTAGGAAAGATTAAAACCCAAGTACAAATCAGCTTTAGCACTGAACTCACAACTGTAAGAAAATGAATGTGAATTTGTAATTAATTGGTTAAAGAATGAAATCACTTTTGCTTAAAAAAACAAAAAATTAATTATCTCCACCACTTTGACAATAGCCCAGTAATTTATTTAAGGACTTGCTGTACTGCTGTCAAAATTGTATCACTTTCAGGACAGAACATCTGCTGTTGGTAGATGGGCTAGGAATGCCAAATATAATCCAAAATTTATTTTCCAAATACAATTCACGTTTTATATCCCATGAGAAGTGCTCTTCACCTTTATGAGCTTTTTTCTTGGCTCAGAAAATAGAGCTGGTTTATGTTGTTTGATTTTGTTTGGGTTTTTTTGGGGGGGAGAGTTGTTTGCCTTTTTTTAAGAAGAGTAGAGAGAACATGCCTGAATATGCTCTTCAAAGAGAATGATAAGATTTTACTTGGAAGTGTTCCAAGTATTTTTGTGTTTTTCCTGAATTACCATTTTATCCATAGATTGTCAACACCCTCCAGTCTTTAAGCCAGCAAAAGCATCCCATATATTAACAAAACTAATTTGGATTCATTTGTCTGAGTATTTTTTCTTCTACTTTTGGAGCCCTGAGAATCTAAACATAAACCCTCCCATTTTTAATTTATCTCTTTGGTTTGCAGCATTGCTTTCTATGGCCTGAGGCACTGTCAAAGATAGCAAATCAATGCCACTGGGTTTCAGTCGTACTCTTCTGGGTGCAAACAGAATAACAAGTATAGACCAAGTAGATAAAGGTAGAGTTCCTAATGGAAATGCTTCTTCATGGGTCCAAGGATGGTAAGTTGTATGGTAGCTAATGTGCTTGGTACCACAACCTTCAGAATGCAATTGCAGAATTCTCACAGACAGTTTTACCCATGGAGGCCAGGACACTGCATCAACATATACATGTGTAAGAAGATGTTGCCATTTCCAACATCCAGCAAACACTAACTGGCATTTGAAAAGAAACCTTTTTTAACTGAAAAGCATTTGGGCTGGCAACTTGATTATGTAGTATATCTTCTTTATATGTGCGTACTATACAGAAACCGATATATCAATGAAAATTTTTGCAAAAACTTGGGATAATTTCCAAAAGTGTAAGTCAATATAAATTGTGGTAATTTACTCCTAGATAAGGGGAAAAGCAACAGTGAGATCAGTGTCACACTTATGGCTTCTTTTCTTGAGGAAGTTGTGGCCACAGTGCATATACTCGTCATCTGCAGGGAGATGACACTCACTGCAAAATTAATTTTGGTTTTAGTGAGATTTCATCCTCACTATTCTTTACAGAGCATTTCTGCTGCAGGAGATCTGGTTTCTTTACTAACTGCCTACTTACTGGCCAGAGGATTTATGTATTACTCTGTAATCAAATGTCCTTGCATATAATCTCTAGATTATCAGAAGACAACTTCTTTTTCTTTTTTTATCTTTTTAAGAGAAAATTAAGCAGTGAATTAAAAAAGCTCTGACGTAACTTTTTATGATAGTTTAAGGACAAAAAATACAGTTTGCTGTATTTTACCTTTAGCACATTTAAACAATCTTTTTCTTTTTAATTATACCTTCAGAAATATGAGGAAAGATTTGGTTTAAAAATAAGGAAGGTAAAAAAACTGGATGTATCCTCTTTAACAGAATGTACCACAGTTCTTCTGTTTGCTGTGTTGACTTTGTTGTTTATATTGCATTGCGTGAGCACATTCACCATGTACTGAAGTGTGTATTTGTGTGTATGGGGTGGGGGTAGAGGGAAATCTTTTTATGGAAAAAAAAGTTGTGAGCATAAACTATGAAGCAACATCTAATGAAAAGTTTCTTTTTAAGTGCAATATATTTATTTCTGCTAGAAATATAATATCAACATTATGTAATATTTGAAGCATTAAATGTTATTTGTAAACAGCTTAAAATTATATATATATCACAAAAACTGTACAGAAGTGCAAATGTGTGGATATTCAGTTTCTTTCATTAAAATATTGGGTGTTTTGATACATCATTCTTATTTAGCCAAATCTTTCTGCTTCTATTTTTTTTTCCTCTAACCAAGGCACCAAGGGCAGTGGAACCAGTCATAGATGTTTCTGAGAGTACGCAAAATTTGTTAGGGCTGCTCATCTACAAAAGGTGATCTAAGTCTTGGATTCATATGGAGTGATAGTTATACTGCAGTTAAATACAATTGTAGCTTGCATGAAATTACAGAAATTATTTCTTTTTCAGAATGCTTTGCAATCATATTCATAAAAATTCCTGCGTTTGCCAGCAGAACTCAAATAAATGGCTGAAATACAGAGTTCTTAGGGTCCCCAAGGTAGTAAATACAGACCTAGGAAACACAGTATATGAAGAGAGTGGAACTAGGTCTGTTAAATCAGGAGAAGTGAAGAATGTGAAGAAGTGAGGAGTAAATTCCTCTCCATAAATGCTGCAGGCTTTTTATTTAAAAGGATGTTTTTTTCAATTATAATAGCATACATTAAAGCAACAGAGAGTTACCTGAGACTCTATCTAAGATATTTAAAGAGGAAAGATAGTAATGAACAGTATAGGATTACCTAGAGAGTATAAGGAGCAATACATATCCTTCAAGGTCTTTTAGAACAGGTTAAACATGCAGTTCTCAAGAATGATGTGATTAAAGCTAATCTCGCCTTAGGACAATCAAATGATCTCTTGAGGTGTTTCCAAGCTTCCTACAAGAGCCATCCCTTACAGCACCTTCTGAAAAAATTCTCATGTTGCTCCAGGAGTTTTTGTTATGCATCCATAATTTATCTTGTCCCAAATTGAGATCAGCTGCTGGGTCTTTTGCAACTAGGTCACAAGATTCCTGGTTTGCAAAGAAGCTCAGTGGGATGGAAGAGCTGTGAGGTTCTAAGGAGCAGTAGCAGCAGCAGCATCTTGGTTTGCAAATGTAAGCAAGGAGATAACAGCCTCAGGTAATTCAAATCTCCCTTGAACTATGCTAAACTGCAACCATGCATTAATGTATCTCATTAACGTTTAGAATGAATGAAAATTAGGACAGATCGCTGAGTTGGTAACTCTGTATGATGCCTTTTGTCTCTGCATTATATTTTTATGGCATCTTGGTAGCAAAACACCTGCATTCTCTCATGGATATTCAATGCTGTGAAAGCCTTTTGCTTAACCTCAGGCTAAGGGGGCTTTTGCTTTCTTGATTACAAGTAACACCAAGCACGTGCACTGGCACTTTCCTGAATCAGAATTATTGGCTGTACACTGGTTCAAAACATGATTATGTCAATGGTCCCATTGAAATCAGAAGGCTTGCTTGTGTAAAGTTAAATCAGCGCTCAAGCGTTGCAGCGGCTCTGCAACAGCAAAACCCCTCATGCTTTGCAGAATCAAGACCTTTGGGAACAAGCTGTCTGTGCAACAAACACCTCTATAACTGGAGCCTTTATTTGCTATTTTCCAAAGAGAAACCAGGGGATTAAACAAAAACGAAGACTCTAAACTGTCTCCTGGTAGGTTACTTTGAAGAGACAGATAAGTAGTCATGATGACTGTAGGCTGCCTTGTGTATCAGAAAACAGATTTATATCCAAATTATCTATCTTGGAGATAAGCAGTGCAGACAATAAATTATTTGGAGAATGCTATTTTCTAAACTTCCTGTGCAGGAACACAATGAATGTACAATTTAATGGTATATTTAAAACACAGAGCAATAAACAATATTTTGAACCATAATCACTTCAAATACACATAAAATATTTAGATTATACACCAACAGTTCAATATATAAAAACGATCAATAATCACTAATAATAACTCTAAAAATTAAACTGACAGTGGTATAATGTTCAAGATCTTTATTAAAGTTAGCCATTGATATCAGGGTTGGTCAGAGAGGCTCTAGGGACTTCTGCAGGCAGGACAGAAGCTGGTCCTTGTTCTCCAAAGTAATAACCAGAGGAACCAAGAAAAATCTATGGAGATGCCTATGAGAAAAGTTGGACTGAGAGGTTTTTTTGAGGAGTAGGGTAATAATTTCTCCCACTGCAGAGAGTATTAGGTATATCACCACTGTAGCATTTTTAGCTCTGTTAATATAAAATACAATTTGGCAGGCAGACACATCAAAATCCAGTATTTTTAAGGCTTTTTAGGATGGAAAATAGGTCTATTGCAGGAACTGCATTGACTAATTTGATAAATTAAAACAAAGCAACCATTCTCAAGCAACAATTTTTGCCTCTTGATTGACATTGAATTGTTTATATTTGCATTGTGAAGCCTACCAGGAATATATGCAGTAATTTTGAGCAGTTTTAGGGTGTTGCATCCTAGAGAATCTCTGGGTTTGAGTCATGTTTTCACAAACTCCATGAACACCCTTTTCAAAGGTCTGTGCTCTCCTGTGTTTGGGGAAGGGTAGTTGCAGAAATGGCTGTGAGCTGAATGGCTGTCCTTCAGATATGCAAGGGACACTCAGCTAGCTCTTGGTCTGTTTAAATTATCAACAACTGCAGAATAGCTCAAAGAGTAAGACAAATTAAAAAAGGGAAAATGCTTGCAGCTGAATCTGTAATTGATGATATTTAGAACAAATAATGACCCAAAAGGTAGAGGTGAGAACAGTTTCTTGAAAAGCTGTGGCTCTTCTCTATTTGGATGCTTAACTTTCATCAGCTGTTCTGAGAGAGTGAGAGAATAAACAAAATGTATACAAAAAACCACAGGTCTGTCACCTGTGTCAGAATTCATCAATTCCATATAATTCCTTTCACATCATTTAAGATGCCTTAAGACAGAGACACAGGTAAAAACCACAGAAATCATACTAGTTTGAAGTGACAAAGTCTGGAATGATTTTTGTGTGTCTTTTTATCTTTGTCTCTGTCTTAAGGCATCTTAAATGATGTGAAAGGAATTATATGGAATTGGTGAAGTTCATGCCGTCGTTACTTCTAGTCTGCACTGTCTTCCATTCAGCTTCTAGGGACAATGCATGCATAATTTTAAGTATAAATACTAAATCATTTAGGTATTTGGTGTCATCAGAAACCAACCTCTCTTTGAGTTCTCAGAGAGGTGGAGTAAATTGTGATGCTTAAACTGGTAGAGTGCTTCATAGGGGTCACTGAAGTTGGACTGCTTTCAATCAGGGTTTTTTCTACTGAAAATCCCACCTGATTTTCTGAAACAAGAACTCTCTGGTCTTCACTGGTCTTCCCTCTGGTGTAAAAGTCGAGTGTGGGAGAGCAGTTTCTGTTTCTCTTAAAGACATCATCACAAATCAATTATTATTTCTTCCTGTGCTCTCTCAGGGATTGATGCCAAGGCAGCCGAAGGAGGAATTACTTTTTATCTTGATGCAAATTGTTGGCAGTAAGATTTGCATTGATAATATCTGAAGATGTACTGAGGGCTTTGCAGTGGCAGGCTTCAATTACCTTCCTTTTGAATGTCATAGCTTTCCAACTTGAGACACCAGTCATACTACTCATCTCCAATGATATTATAAATAAGTTAGTAGTACTCAGGGGATTTATCAGCCTGACTTTATTTAATCTTTCCATTTTCAGTTAACATAGTCACCTCAAACAGTGAATTTCCAGAGGATGATTCGATTGTTTCAGATGGTTAAAGACTTTGGCCTTCCTTGCTCCTTCATTTTACAATGCACTAGGAATCTCGTACACTTTTGACTGAACATATAAAAGCCTAGCACTTGTGCCCCATCATTTCCTTTACAAGGCTTTAAATACCTCCAAGTTGTTCTTAAATGAATTTGTGTTGCAGAGCCTATCTAGCACTTAAGACAACTTGGCATGGTTTCCAGTAGTTCTGGACAGACAGCTACTTGTGTTTTCATCACAGAAAATGTTTTCTTTCCTATATAGCTGTTGAGGGCAAAGACTAACAAGGAATATTATAGGCTGAGATTTCAAAGCCATTACAAAGGTAGATGCACAGCTCACACTAATTTTAGCAAGAATCATGTTTCTGAGTCCTGTAAGAAAGTCTTTGCTATAGTGTTTGTTATTTTAAAAGGTTTATGGGATTTTTCAGAGACCAGCCTAAACATTTTAACATTTGATCCTGAATTATTTTAAAGCCTCTTTTGCTCCATGCCATAATATCATGCCTTTGTTCTTCTGTTCTTTCAACCTTGGCCAAACTGTTAGAGAACACATGGATACTTCCTTTCCATTTGCTAATTCAGTAATAAGAGAACTCATATGAGCTGAAGAGGTTAATTTACTTTTTTCTTTGTGGAGTTTTGGATGTGTTTTTTGGGGTTTTTTTTTTGTTTTTTTGGTGGGTATTTTTTGTTTAATTTTTTTTTTGGTGAGTCCTATTCTTCAGAGCTTAGTTATTTTTTGCTTTGCTTATAGAAGAACAGTCTATATATTTATCTCAAAGGCAGAGTTGCCATCATGACAATATACCCAAAACTGAATTTTGCTGCCCAAAATTTGAGGGTGGGCTCAAGCTGTCTTGACATGAAAGAAATCAGAATGTAAAATGACACAGAGAAGCATCAGACTACCACGCTTTTACCACTGCCAGGAACTACCCCCCTGCTCCTGAGCAGCTGCTGCCATTCTGCCTGCAAAATTTTGCCAAGAGCAAAAGCAAAATGTTTTCCTCTTCAGGGCTTTGGTATAAGCAGCAAAGCAGGCATCAGGTTTGGGTCTGGTTTGTCCCCACCTTACCCACAAACACATAAACACTCAGAGTATTTGATGCTGAGGAAGTGCCTCGTCAGCTTGTGCCTAGAGCTGCTCAAGGCTGTGGATTCCCCCAGTGATCTAAGAGCCCAGAACCTAAGATCAGCAATGTATAAGTCTTCACAAACACAAAAACTTATGGCTTAGAATATTTTTAACACTTGTATTATTCTGGAAATGTGAATTGGCAGTACAGCTGCAATGAGATAGACATTTTCACCAAAATGGACACACTGGAAAATCCAGAAAGATGTAAATAGCAACAGTCCGGATGCAAGAGCAGAAAT